AGGAGAAAATGCTAAAAAACCGGATCTTGTATATTTTCCCATGATTCATCAAAACTTTTTGATTTTAAGCTCAAATAAATCGGAACAAAGGAATGATTGATGATCTGGATCTCGGATCATAAGCATAAAGTGATTCAGAAGTCCGTGGATCAGTTAATTTATTGGGAAAGCTCTAGAACATTAGTAATGATGCGGCTTCACAAAAAGGGGTCAATTAGAGAACAGTCTATTATAGCCGAGTCATTTCTAAAGATAACCGTTCTTAATTAAGGCGGTGTAGAGCATAGCTTCAGCGCTACAAGACCCCGCTAAGATCGGCCCAAAAGACAAAGAAATGAATTACTTATTGCTGAGTCATGTCCTAAGTCCATTATTAAGCTTACACAGCCCAAGCCCCTATATCATTCTAGAACTATCTATAATACAAATGTAGCACATGTAACTGGTGTGAGGCGTGGGAGTAGAGAGGCCTCTGAAAAGCATAAAAGGCTGCCGCTTCTGCCCCCTCTCAAACCTCAGGTAGAAATAAAAGTTTAATTCTCCTCACCTGTCATATCCGTACAATCCCAACCTCCACTCCGGGCTCCCGGAACTCTGAACCTGACTTCCAGAGTCCTACTTCCCTTCCTTGCCAACTTCCAAGAGGTTATCCCACCTCCAGCTCCAACACCACCTTCGGTCCGACTCCAGAACATTCCGGGTCCGACCTCATCCTCGACACCTTCCAGACAAGCACGCAACATGCTCCCGACTCTGGACCTCCACTCCGGAATCCTGTTGCGTCTCCATCTCCAGAACCTCCAGTCTTAGCTCCGACCTCGGACTTTGACCCCACCTCCACTTATACCCATTGTATTGGTTAGCTCATTCCATTTAATCATGTTTGCCAATATTCCGGAGTTTAACTTCCAAGTTCAGACTTTCCGGACTTACCTCGGACCTTGCAACTATTGCATTGTCCTATTCAATTCCGCTATTCTCCCTCATTCCTATTTGGGCTGCTGCTTCCTTTCTATTCAGTCAGCTGGCCATTCCCCACTCCCATCCTCCTTCCTTCCTCCTTGGGCCTTGGCCCTTCATTCCTCCTTTGAGAAACACCATTGAGTACAACCCTTGACCCTCGGTGTTGTTCCTCTTTCCATCTCCCTTTGTCTCCTTTCGTCATACCCTTGTTCCTTTTGATTCTGGACCCCTCCTTATATACAATGTACATAGTAACTTGTAACCTCAGTCCGAAATCGACATGAATTCCCCCAAGAGACTTTCCCTCTGCTAGATCCGAAATTAGGGACCCCTAGGACAACCAGCAATGGCACAGCGCTCTGCCTGAGTCGCTGAGGCCAAGGTCCTTCCACGCTAAGTCTCCGATTCCACTCTGGAGTCGTCCGAATCCGCAAGTTCTAACATCACCAGTGGTTGGTTCATTTGCTCCAAAAGATAAAAGCAAATATTAGTTGTTAGCTAATATAAAACTAACACGTCACTCTAAGCGTGAGTTAGGGTCAGTTAGACACAGCTGAACAAAAGTGTCATAGTGAGAATTAGTGAGAATTTGGTGGAGGGACTTCTTAATTGAATAATCTCTCAGCAATACTTGGTTATCACACCACAGGAGAAAAGTGAGCGATCCTGAACCTGCTAGATAACTAGCACGCACTATAAGCGATAGAAAGAGCAGTTTGGTCACTCCTGTATTGAGTAACATTTATTGTGGAATTATTTTATTAGCAGTTTTCCTTCAGTAAATTATCAGGAAAATCACGTCCTACTGAAAAGTGGTATATCTAGGTGTAATATTGACTAGAAATCATAGTAAAGTCAATATAGAATTTTATTTGTAGACGATCTATACATCAGGTGAGATCGTTGGGGGGTGTTTATTGTTGTTTAGACAGTGAACAATTATATATTTGGCAACCAAAACACGGTCAGTATGCAAATCAGCACAAACTCTAATATCATTATTGGATGTAGGAAACTGGTTACATAAGGTGATCCAGCTCCACTCCTTCACCGCATCAGTCCTTTCTACTGCTGATGGAATTATTCCCCCACCACTAGGTCATTGCTCCAATGCAAAATCAGTTTCTGCTCCTCCACCACAGCCACCTCTGCCAGCCTCACCTATGCCACAAATGGTGTTGGAATTTGTACACATGGTCTTGGGAACCTTAATGCTAAAATATGGACATTCTGGGAGTTGAACTGCAGAACCCTGCATAGGTACCAAGAGTGTGTTACCATTACACTAAATGCCCACATTAGGCAGAGGTGGTTTCTAACACACCCCCTTCACATTGGATTGAGCCTGTGATCCACATGTGACCCTAACCACTGGGCTTCCAACAGCCTGTGAGCCATCACCCCCTGAATTCATATTCAGGCCAGACTTACTGCTAATCTCCTACATGTCCACATCATGTGGTCTGAAGCAGCCAGATTTGGGTCCTTAGTGCTCTGAGCTACACCCCCTGAAACTTTGTCAGGCTGGCTAATTTAATGCTTGACTTCACGTGCCCATCTCATGTGGCAGCAACTGGATTTGGGTGTGCTTGGTGACTTGCGTAGAATGTCCACCATGTTGGAATTTGTACACATGGTCTTGGGAACCTTAATGCTAAAATATGGACATTCTGGGAGTCAAACTGCAGAACCCTGCATAGGTACCAAGAGTGTGTTACCATTACACTAAATGCCCACATTAGGCGGAGGTGGTTTCTAACAAATGGTTGTACTACAACCCCCCTCCATACCATGGTCTGTACCCTAGTCATGCATTCCAGAATGCATATGGACATCAGTGTACCACCTGTGAGCATGCTGCTGGATATCATGGATGCCATGACTATCATCAACCACACCCACACTTGGAACAAAATTTCAGCTCCCAGGCTGTGCATTCCCAACATGGTGCCCCAGATCTTGCACCAGACAGTGATGATTTTTCCCCTCCATCAGCAATATTCCCATCAATCATGGAATGGTTCACGAGACTTGAATGCAATAGGAATATTTTGCCTGATCCTGTGCCCCTTGCTGTATTTTCGGAGCCATTGGCCATACTGGGCTATTTCCATCTTGATGATCTTGATCATGCATGCAGAAATCTGGGAGGCTTTAAATGTTGGATTTGCCCATGGCATTGCTGAAAAGCTTGGAAAGCTTGTCTGGCATGAAGTCAAGCACATTACCAATAAGTATAATGCACCTAGCCACCACTAGCTTTCATAGTCATTTAGTAGTGCAACTCTGGATAGTATACAATGTCTATAATGTTTAAAAATAACTAGTCTTCCTCTTCTACATCATAGCCAGCATTAAAGAACCAGCCAAATGCATCCTCAGCTGTAATAGAATAGAATAAATCACATAGATGTGCTTTAACTGCCTGTTCATTTTGCTGTCTTTGCATAAGATGTCACAGAGATGGACCACTACGCCGAATTCTTGCTTTGAATGCAGCTCAAGTCAGGTGAGTATGGTGGGAGAAATATGAGCCAGCATCCACTGCCAAAATGAGGAAATTAAAAAGTGTTAATCATAACATAAACTCATACAACCAGATGATGGATAGAAGGATGTTTATGAATTGAGCAGTTATCAAGGACAATAGTGGAATTTGGCTGGGGGAAAGGGTTCATCTCACATAACAGCCTTCGAATGAAATGGCGAAATGTGATTGTTGTATATGCACCTATGCGTGCCTTGGCATTTAGTGGTCCTTCAAGAGAAAGCACTGGAAGCAGTGAATATAATCAGCGACAACACACTCTAAATCAGAGCTGAGGCAGCATACTGTTTTCCACGGATCCGACTTGCACAAACCTGAGGTCGGTGGCCTTTCCGAGCCCATCCTCGCAACCGGTTAGTATTGCGACTGTCCACTGCAGTTTCATCCACAAAAACAAGCTGATCAGGCAAGTAATTATCCCGAATTAAGCGACGATATCTATCCCAGTCTCTCTCATTTCTTTCAGCAGCCATTTGGTGGATCTAGATGTCGGTGATGGATTGGGTTATCAAGCTTAGGGTCGCCACTGTTGACTCACCGATTTCATACAGAAACCATTATGTCGAAGTGTTCTCCATATACACGATTGGGATACAAGCCTTCCCCGTTGCATTTTGAGCTTGCCTTGAATTTCATCCAAATACAAATCGGGTCGCGCGGCAAGCAAACCTTTGATAAACTATGATATAGTCAGAACCCAGGGCAAATGTGCAAGGGAATATGATTACATGCTCATCTGCATCACTTAGGGCCCTCTGACCGCTGGCTGCCCTCGTATTTGGTGCATCAAAGCCACCATGTTGTGCATATTGCTCTCTCCAGCGTTGAATTGAGCGCGTACTCACACCAGTCAAGAATTGAACCACATGTGGTTCCAAATATGCATTGATGCGAACTATGAGGGCTTTGAGATCACTACTAAAGTGGCAAGGGGCCATTGTTCACTTTGAGTTGGAGCACGGGAGTTGGAGTACAACATCGGGAAATTCCGTAGGCGCCGTCAAAGTGATGCCTGCGACATCCTCAAAACATACACAGATAACTTCCATTGTTCGTATGTTAAATTTACGACAATATAGGACTATAAAATACAGCAACCGTTGACCAACACTGAACCCTAGACACTAGTCCGCCGCCGTAGCTGCCCCATTATCCAAATTCTCAAAAATTCATCAAATCGTTCCGTCAAAAAAAAAAGCTCCTGTGTTTTTTCCCCAACACTCTGCTGCCAAATTTTCAGCCAATTCCATGCAGCCGTTGAGGTGAAAAGTGGGGATAAAGTTCAGCTGCCGGGAATTTTAAATATCGATGCTACGCACAATCGGAAAAAAAAAGTCGCTAGATATCAGCTCCATGAACATGATCCAACAATCCGTTTGGAAAAAAGCGGTGTTGTTGTGGAGTAAATGGGGGATGAAGTTTGGCGCTGTTCAAGCGCCAGGATTCATACGGAAGCAAGAAATCCGTCACGCGACAAATCAACTGAAAACGGCAGTACATTCGTCAGCGCATAGTTTGCTTCCGGCCAAAGCCGGATCACTAACAACCGCTCTCGCCTTTTCATTCAAAGTATATCGCTCCGCTTCACACCTCTTCGTAATCGCCTCGTGACTGATGCCCTCTCCTAGTGACCGGGACAATTTCTACCCTTACCCGTTTCTCTGAGGACGTCCCCGCCAATTTACCACCGCCCGAGCAAATCGTCGCTCTTTGCAAGGAGGCTGGCTACAACAGGCACGGGATCCCCTTCATTGGCCCTTTTGGGGCCGTTTTGGCCTGGTTCAAGTATGGGCCGCATGTCACCTTGGATGAAGCGTTCACTCAGGTCTGGGTCGCGAGGCACCTGAATGCGAAACCAGAGGACGGCGTGAAGGTCCCGCAAGTCTTCATGGCGTTCACGAGCCCTCATCCTGCCTGCACTATCGGCTTTATCATCATGGAGTATATTGCTGCTCCTGACTGCACGAGTGGAGACTACGAGCGGGTAGCACAGGCTGTGAACACGCTCATCCGTATCAAAGCTCCAAACTCTGTACCCGGACCCATTGGCGGCGGGGCAGTGGTTCACAGCTTTTTCCCCGAATGGACGTCTGGTATCAGGTACAAGACAAGCAAAGAGCTTCAGAGTCACCTAAACCAGGTAAGTCAGCGCTACTTTTCTAGTGCGCCTGGGTGACTTAGGACCATGGTAGATCCTCAAAATCAACAAAGATAATAAGCGGGTCAGCTTTGAGGCAGAAGGTCTTTACCTTTGCCCGGTCGATATCAATCCGGGCCACTTCAAGAAGCTCGAAGACGGCAGGATTGTGGTACTGGATTTCCGAGCGACATGCTTTTTACCTGAATCCTTTATCGCTTATGCGATGCAGAAGCCAGTTCACAAGTTCAAGCAGATGGTTGCCAAGTACGTTAATTATCCGGCGTCGAACAACGTCGAGGCAATGGCTGTTGCATCTGGTTACCTGGTTTACTACGGAAGAAGCAACATTGGTCAGTCTGTCAGCCTTCATCTTTGTCTAGACTGACTTGATAACTGGACAGGACTTCCGACGAACGTCCTCCGGCGCATGCGACGCTAACGCATTCCGGTCTGCACTTCTCTTGTGTTCTTGTAGCGACTGTTGTCCTTGACTTGCCGTCTGTATTACCGCATATACATCTGTCAATTAGTACTATCGTTGCCGGTGAAAAGGCCCATAGAAAAGGATTGTTATAACTAACCTACAGTCATTCACGGACCCTGCCTCAACAACCAACATCCCGCTTGCGACTGTCACCACACATCTAACACTCCGGTGAAACGGACCTTGAATCGGAGTCGGACACAGATGATGGGGGACCTCCAGCAGCAGAACGACCGAGCCGAATGTTGGATATCATGAATATGCTTTCACCAGGAAATGGTAATTCAAGGCCAACGTGGTCCCGCTGCAGCGGGTCTCGTGTCAAGGACCAACTGGAGTTCCAAGAGGAGCACAACAGTGGTTTGATTAGTTGATCGAGGACACTTCGCATTGGGCCTAGATCACCCTGTGGACATGGTCTTGGTGTAGCTTGGCCAGTATCCGGTGATGGTTCACATTTTGACTATGTGAAGAAAGCAATTTCCACTCAGATTGGCATATGCCACCACATTTAATTCATGCCAGGGCCTCACATTCGAACGCGTAGTCATTGATGGCAGAGATGATGTGTTTGCTGATGGCCAACTGTACACAGCCCTGTCAAGAGTCCGGAAAAGGGAAGATATCACAGTGCTGATGCCAAACTCAAATCATCGGTGGCTAATGTAGTGTTTGCTCAATTGCTACCTCGCAACACTCATGACTGATCAGTCAGTAGTGTTCAATGAGGGTGCTCCAGTGTAGTATGTATATATGAAGTAGAGTATATATTACAGCGAAAAACGAAATATCGTAGAAAGTGCGACAAGCGAAAACCCTGATTTGCTCAAATTGGAAGGTCGTTCCTGACTCACGTGCCACTTGTCGCATTGTGTCGGAAAATCCCGTATATCGTTTAAACGCCCGGGAAACGTTTCATGGTGTTTATTTACAACAACTACCCAACGGCCGATGAGAATACATTGGGCAGATGTGGTGGTACTTTATATGTTATATGAGACAGATTTTTGACGATTTTGATGCTGTAGGAAGCATTTATGACACATTTATTAAGTTATTAAAAACATATTCAGAGCGTTTGAGGGGTATAAAAATGCATTCAATAATATCAAAAAACCCCATAAACAATTTATCACAACGTTTAGATGCCAAAATTCACGTTTAAACGTCAAATTTTGGCATTTTAAATGTCAAGTCTTGTGCTTTTGATCAATCTCGTGATTTTCCGACATGGGCTGATAGAATTCATTTGTTCATTGAGTTAAATATTGATAGAACAATTGTTTTTAGTGGATTGCAAGTTGGGTGTTGTGGCCCATGTGCTATGTACGCCCTATTCAGTCATCTATGGCCAAGGTGGCTCCTCAGTTTGATTCACTGTTGCTTCTTTCTTTGTTGCCTTTTTCTTCATGTTCAAAGTCAATGGTTACATAGGCTTTTTTTTTTCCAGTCCACTCTATACTTATAAAAAAAACTCCCAGAAGCATTTTGTAATATTGGTTGGTGAATACTTCATCGCCATTTTTGATGCAGAAAAAAAAAGAGAAAAAAACTACTTTCCACAACGCCGAATCGAACCAACACCACTTGAAATGATCCCCAAGCTAGATGGAGAATATAGCCACTAGTTCACCATAGCACCGTTGCCACAGCCCAACTCTGATCAGTTATAGAGATCTAATACGGAAAGTGCATACAGCCAATCTGCTTCCACACGCTCCTCAGCTGCACCCCTGCACGTACCTAGCCCCTCTTACATTCCCTCTGTGGGGCTTTGTGAGCCCAAACTTCAATCTCATCCCGTTTCAACATGATCGAGCAACAGCAGCATGTGAATCAGGGTAACTTCCAATTTGAGCAAATCAGGGTTTTCACTTGTTGCACTTTTCTACAATATTTCGTTTTTCGCTGTAATAGCGCTCATTGATCCACTGGAGAGAAAATGGGAAGGAAGCAGGACAACAAAGGTTCCCATGCCTTGTCTCGGAATTTAAGGATCCAGATCCAAACCTGAGCCCGAAACGGATGGATGCATTCATTTGGTCCATGCTGTGGTGGGCAAGAAGGGAGGAAGGTCGGTTGGTTTGCTGCTGGTTTTTTTTGGGTGTTTCCCCATATGGACCCATGTAACCCAGACCATTCTTCCATTCATTTCGCATCTTGAAAATCAAATCACCTGCCAGCACTGCCACATTTCTTTGTTTGGTTCATTCAGCTTTCTTGTTAGAACTGTCGGATTCGGACGACTCCGGAGTGGAATCGGAGACTTAGCATGGAAGGACCTCGGCCTCAGCGACTCAGGCGGAGCGCTGTGCCATTGCTGGTTGTCCTGGGGGTCCCTAATTTCGGATCTAGCAGAGGGAAAGTCTCTTGGGGGAATTCAAGTCGATTTCGGACTGAGGTTACAAGTTACTTAGGTACATTGTATATAAGGAGGGGTCCGGAATCAAAAGGAACAAGGGTAGGACAAAAGGAGACAAAGGGAGATGGAAAGAGGAACAACACCAAGGGTCAAGTGTTTGACTCAATGGTGTTTCCCAAAGGAGGAATGAAGGGCCAAGGCCCAAGAAGGAAGGAAGGAGGATGGGAGTCGGGAATGGCTAGCTGACTGAATAGAAAGGAAGCAGCAGCCCAAATAGGAATGAGGGAGAATAGCGGAATTGAAATGGACAATGCAATAGTTGCAAGGTCCGGAGTAAGTCCGGAAAGTCCGAACTCGGAGGTTAAACTCCGGAATATTGGCAAAGGTAATTAAATGGAATGAGCTAACCAATACAATGGGTATAAGCGGAGGTGGGGTCAAAGTCCGAGGTCGGAGCTAAGACCGGAGGTTCCGGAGACAGAGACGCAAATGGGATTCCAGAGCGGAGGTCCGGAGTCAGGAGCATAGGTTTTGCATACTCGTCTGGAAGGTGTCGAGGTTGGGGTCGGACCCGGAATGTTCCGGAGTCGGACTGAAGGTGGTGTCTGAGCCGGAGGTGGGATAACCTCTTGGGAGTCAGCAAGGAGAAAGTGACGGAAGGGAAGTAGGGCTCCGGAAGTCGGAGTTCGGAGTTCCAGGAGCCAGGAGCGGAGGTCAGGATTGTATGGATATGACATTTCTCCCCCCTGTCATATCCATCTACAGCCATTGTCCTCCACTCCAATCCTTCCAGACTACCTCTGCTCCTTCTTCACTAACCTCAGAGCCCCTGTATTCCGCAATCACCTCCAACTCCCTCGATGGTCACCACCCCCTCTTTTCAATATATTACCTATGCCTTCCTAAGTACAGGTCCCCGAAGGTCTCTGGACAGCTCCGACATCCGCTAGTGCACTCCTGCCCCCACTGGGCAATACACTTGCTTGCCCTGCAAGTCTACCTTCAGGCCTATCCCTCCTTTCCGTTTCTGGGTTATAGCCCGCCACTCTGCTAACCCCATAACCCAACTTGTATTCAATCGGCTAATGTTTAACTCCATTAGCTCCACTCCGCTCAGTCCTGCCATTCATGGGCCTGCCCTCGCTGTAACTATATATACTGTACTTAACTTGTACATAGGTTACACCCTAGTGATAAAATTGACTAGAGTTGATCCCCCTTTTAGTTCTCGCTGCCAGTAAGTAAATTAGGGCACAGATGTATAACTAGGCACAGCGCTCCTGGTCTGAGTCACTGAGGCCAAAGCCCTCCATCACAGAGACATCTCCTTCATCTCGCTTCTGGTCTCTAACAGTATTTTATCACTCCCTGACAAGTACACATCTTGTATGGCACCCAAAGCCCCTCGCACTCATTTGCAACTACGCACATTGGTTCCTAACTCTGCCTCACCATCCCCCAAACCCTCGCAGCCTGGTCCTAGTCATCTGGTGAGAAACCCAGTTGAGTTTCACAGCTTCTCTAATTTAGAAACCCCTCTCCTGTCGACTCTGATCATGTGTCCCATTAGAAATTGATTGTCATATCCGTACATACCCGACCCCGACCCGACTTCTGGACCTCCACCCTCTTCACCTCCGGAGTCATAACCTACCGCTGCCGTTCCGATACTCACCTTCGGTCCTGGCAACACACCTCCTCCTTACCTCCCCGACCCTATCTCCGTCCGCTCCGATACTCATCTCGGACCGAACACCGCCCCTCTCACCACCCTCCTACTACTCCACTCCCCCTTCACAACACCTCCACCCTCCCGTTATCCTCCTACACTTCCCCCGTCCACTCCGATACTCACCTTCGGACCTGACTACTCTCCTCTCCGCCACTCCTTCTCCCCTTACCTGTCCCCTCTCTCCTCCCTCCGTTACTCCTCTGCCACCCTTCCGCCAAGTTACGACCTTCCACCGCTGTTCCGTACTTCGCACTCGGACACCGCTCATACCTTGCTCCGAGCCTCCGTCATAGTCCCTACTTCGGACTTTGACTCCACCTCGGTCTTAGTCCATTGCATTGGTGACCTCATACTACGTAAACACCATTGCCAATATCCCTCGGACTTTCAACCCCGCCTCCGTAACCTCCGTAACCTCCGCAACCCCTGAGCTTCGCGGATCGCCTTCGGCACTCTCGCCGCTTGTAATGTATTTCTCGCGTTTTCCCCTCATCCCTATTTGGACTACTGCTTCTTCCTATTCTAGCCAGTTAGTCATCATCCCCACTTCCCCTCATCCTCCTGCCCCTCTGGGCCTTGCCCTCCCTACCTCCTTTCGGACGTATCACAGGTCCTGCCTTATGACCTTCGGTACCGCTCCGCTCCCTCTACCCTTTGTTCCCTTTCGGACGTCTTCGTTCCGATTCGGTTACCCTTTGTTTTCCTTGTGCTTTTGCCCCTTCCATTATATATATCGGCGCTTGTACATACTTGTTTTGGTTTAGTCCGAAATTGACCTGAAATGCCCCCTAGAGACTTCCTGCTCACCTACTGTGAAATTAAGGACCAAATGGACAAACAGCAATGGCACAGCGCTCCACTTGAGTCGCTGAGGCCAAGGTCCCTCCATGCTAAGTCTCCGATTCCACTCCGGAGTCGTCTGTTTCCGCCCGGTTCTAACACCAAGGTCATCTTCGTGCAGTCCTACCTCAAGGGGATGGCTCTTGA